AGAAATCAAAAACTACCTGAAGATAAAATAAATACATAATACACCAAAATCTATGGGATGATACAAAAGTGGTACTAAGAATGAAGTTTATAGCACTAAAGGCCTACTTCAAGGAACAAGAAAAATCTCAAATATACAATCTAACCTTACACCAAAAGAAACTTGAAAAAGAAGAACATAAAGTAGAAAGAAGGAAATAGTAAGGATCAGAATGGAAACAAAACAGACACTCAAAAGAAAATAGAAAAGACCAAACTAAGAGCTGTTTCTTTGAAAAGATAGGCAAAGCTGACAAAGTTGGAGGGAAAAACGAGTAAAGGAGATCAACTGTATGGTGACAGATGGAAAATATATTTAATTAAAAAAAAAAAAACAACTTTTGGCTATACTGCACAGCCGGTGAGCTCTTAGTTCCTCCACCACGGATTGAACTCAGGCCCCAGGCAGTGGAAGCACCGAGTCCTAACCACTGAACCACGAGGGAATTCCCTAAAGTAAGCTTCTGATGGTAAGCACACAGCTGTAGTCTTTACACTAGTAGAATTAAAATGTACACATGAAACTTGTGTGTTATAAACCAACGTTACCTCAATTAAAGATAAATTTTTTAAAAAGTCAAACATAAGCTTTCCATATGACCCAATAATTCTACTACTTATCCAAGAGAAAGGAAAATATATCTCCACATAAAGTAACATGTTCGTAGCAGCTTTATTCATAACAACCTTAGTCAAATAATTAAAAGCTGGAAATAACCCAAAATCCATTAACAGGTAATTCAGTTCAGTTCAGTTGCTCAGTCATGTCTGACTCTTTGTGACCCCATGGATTGCAGCATGCCAGGCCTCCCTGTCCATCACCAACTCCTGGAGTTTACTCAAACTCAGGTCCATTGAGTCGATGATGCCATCCAACCATCTCACCCTGTCATCCCCTTCTCCTCCCACCTACCATCTTTCCAGCATCAGGGTCTTTTCAAATGAGTCAGTTCTTTGCATCAGGTGGCCAGTAGTTTCAGCTTCAGCATCAGTCCTTCCAATGAACATTCAGGACTGATTTCCTTTAGGATGGACTGCTGATCTCCTGGCTGTCTAAAGGACTCTCAAGAGTCTTCTCCAACACCACAGTTCAAAAGCATCAATTCTTCAGCGCTCAGCTTTCTTTATAGTCCAACTCTCACATCCATACATGACTACTGGAAAAACCATAGTTTTGACTACACACACCTTTGTTGGCAAAGTAATTTCTCTGCTTTTTAATATGCTATCTAGGTTGGTCATAACTTTTCTTCCAAGGAGCAAGTGTCTTTTAATTTCATGGCTGCAGTCACCATCTGCAGTAATTCTGGAGCCCCCAAAAATAAAGTCTGTCACTGTTTCCATTGTTTCCCCATCTATTTGCCATGAAGTGATGGGACCAGATGCCATGATCTAAGTTTTCTGAACACTGAGTTTTAAGCCAACTTTTTTTACTCTCCTTAGATAAACAAATTGTAGAATATAATGCTACTGAGCAATAAAAAAGAATATGCAACAACATGGGTAAATCTCAAAAACCTTCTGCTGAGCTAAAGAAGCCAGACACCAAAGATGCATACTGTATGATTTCATCATGGGTGGTGGTTGGGATTTACTTGAATAGAGCACAAGCAACTTATTCAAGTAATGGAAACATTCCGTATCTTGGTCGTGGTGGTGCTTACAAAGGTATACAAGTTTACTGAAATTCTAGAATGAGTGCATTTTATTATGCAACTTATACTACAGTAAAGTTGATTTTTTTTTTATTTTTAAAGGAGCTCATTCCTAAGTTTCTTGTAAATTATTCTTTGCTAAAACATTTTTTAAGAGATCCTGATAAAGCTGGGCTCTGTACTGTATACCTTGCAAGACTCATACAGGTTATAGCTAGAAATGGAATTACTAATTTACAAGATACATAAATCTTCAACTTTGTCAGATATTGCCAAACTGCTCTCCCAAGTTGTTTTTGTTTCAACTCTAAATCCCTTTAAAGTAGTTTACACTCTTTGTCTTTACTTCCTCTTATTCACCTAGTCTATTAAAAATATTTTTCTATTCTCTAACAGTCCATTGAAACTACTTTTACCAAGGTTACCAAATACCTCTTAATTTCAAAATTCAACAGCCTCTTTTCAGTTTTAATCATTCTTGACCACTCCAGTCTCCTTTTGCTTTATTTCACAATTACACTATTTCACATAATGTTTTACACTGAGGAACCAAAAGATATTTCATGCTTCTGAAACTTTTCTCAAGTTGTCTCTGGTGGGAGAAAGTAAACTTGGCCAAAATAACCAAGTGAAGTGAAAGTCGCTCAGTTGTGTCCAACTCTTTGCAACCCCACAGATACACAGTCCATGGAATTCTCCAGGCCAAAATACTGGAGTAGGTAGCCTTTCCCTTTTCCAGAGGATCTTCCCAACCCAGGGATCGAACTCAGGTCTCCTGCATTGCAGGCAGATTCTTTACCAGCTGAGCCACAACAAAAGCCCAAGAATACTGGAGTGGGCAGCCTATCCCTTCTCCAGCAGATCTTCCTGATCCAGGAATCGAATCTGGGTCTCCTGCATTGCAGGAGGATTCTTTACCAATTGAGTTATCAGGGAATTCCAATAGCCAAATATATCCCAATATACAAATATCCCAATAGCCAAAAAAATAACCAAAACAAGCCAAATATGTCATTTTTTATCTTAAAAATGTACATGAATTTTGGATTCTACTCCATAATATATTCCTATTCAACTTTAAAGCATTTAAAATAAATTAACATTAAGCTTAATCAATGATACATAATGTATCATATTTATAATATGACTGTACATAATATCAAAATATATCCCCTGGGTTATGTATAATTCTAGTCTGAAAAACAAATGACTTACTCGAAATTGTGAAGCTTAGATTTTAACATATATCTGTCTAATTCCAAAGCCCATGTGCCTCCCCCATACCAAGAGTCTCAGTTGGCACAAGTTTCTTTCCTCTGAGACTTGAGTTTTAACAATCACAAAGGACTTTTGAAAGTAGGAAAAGTAGAACTAAGTCCTTGAAAGAAACTGGGAACCCCCCTCCCCAACAAGGACAGAACATTCAAAGAATGTTCAGCTTGCTTGAGCTATGGAAGAAAGGAAAGGAGGATAAAAAGACAGGAGGGAAGGAAAGAAGAGAAGGAAAAAAAAACAAGAGGAGAAGAAAGGATAAATTAAATATATTTCTCTCTGAAAGGAAGAAATTAATAGATGAGACAGGGAAAATGTAACCATACATCTGAAACATAACGAACAAGTATATATGTAGATAAACGCAGACTCCCTATGCCTTCAAAATAAAGAATATATTTACTTTTCACACATACAAATAATAATTACAAAATCTCATCAGTAAAAGAATAAAAATGAAGTCTCAACAAATATCAAACAATAACATACAGTTATATAATAACCACATACACTGTCCAAAATGCAGTTCTAAGAGAAATCATTTTCTAAAAAGATTTTTTTGGGGAGGACTTTGGTCCAACCTTTGGTTGGACCCAAAGGTCCAACGCTTAAGACTTCACTTACATGAAATACTAGAACAGATAAATTTATAGACATAAAGCAGATCACTGGTTGCCTACAGTTGAGCGGAATGAGGAAAAACATGAAGGGAATGCTAATGTTTATGAGGTTTATTTGGGGGTGACAAAAATGTTCTAATATTAATTGTGGTAACAGTAGCACATCTCTGTGCTAAAAACCACTGAACATTTTACCTGGATGAATTGTATAGTGTGTAAAATATACTTCAGTTAAGCTATTACCAAAAAAAACAGCTCAAAATTTAATGACTGGAAGAAGGCACATATGAAGAGATTTTGCCTTAGATATCTGAAGTACAACCACCACAGATCACCTCTACTGCAGAGAATACTGGGAAAAAAAATAAATGATCTCTACAGTGATTTAGTTCTAAGATATAAATTTATATAACATATTCTGTTTTCCTTCTAAGCATCTCATAGGTTTGCTTTCAGCCAAAAATATCTAGGCTGACACAGAGTTATCTATAAGATTTCTCTAGGCTTAAATAATACTTTAAAAATCAACTGTATACCAGTGAACAATATATAATAATTTTAAGAAGAATAATCAGAATTAGTCTCATCATAAAGCTGCAAGTAAAATTCATAATATGTGTCAGACACAGTCATAGAATAACACATGTCATCTCCAATCTTGTCAACAATCAGTACAGTGAAGATGAGGAAATCAGGATTCAGAGATATTAAGTAACTTGCCTATTCAGTGATTAGACAACAAAGCTAGGATTTGAATTTAAGACTGCCTGTCTCTAAAACCTATGATATCATACTATTTCCTATCTTTAAGAAGGGATAAAACATCCAGTCAGGCAATAGTAATTAAAGAGATTTACCACAAATATGTACTAATATAAAAATATTAAAAGTTTAAAAGAACTTCAGAGAACATCTACGCCAAGTACCTCATTTTACAAATGACACAACATTTCGCAGTCTCTGATTAGCCTTGGCTATTTCCGCTACTCTCTGGCTTCCAATGTATTACAAAGTCAAAGGGTTAGTCAGTCATGTTTGACTCCTTGCGACCCCATGGACTATAGCCTGCCAGGCTCCACTACCCATGGAATTCTTAAGGCAAGAATACTGGAGTGGGTTGCCATTCCCTTCCCTAGGGGGTCTTTCTGACCCAGTGATCAAATCCAGGTCTCCTGCATTGCAGGCAGATGTATTAAACGGCTATCTGCAAATCCTTCATGATAGCCTCAGCATAAATCAAATAAGGAATCATAGAAGAGCTATGTTTCAGTAAGTCATGGACGTGTTGAATAAACTCCCCAAAACTGATATTTTTAGACTATCATACAAAATAATTATTTCTGTTACTTGCCTTATGCAGAATTCTGGTTACACAGAATCTATAATACTGATTTATTGCTACTTTGAACACCTACCTTCGTGGCCACAAGAAACACAGTAAAGAAGAACATAAGATTATGCCTTGATATTGCCAAATGCTTGGTTTGCTGGAATGTGAAGATAACTGATCCCAGCAGGGTTACCTTGGCAGTGCTGAAAATAAAACATATTTTAACTCAATAAGTAATAAACATGATTTATCTCTATATTTCTCAGAGTATTCTCAAAATATTATATGAGTTATTAATAGATGTAACACAAAAATGAATTCTATAAACTTTTGGAAATGCTGAGTTATATAAAGTTAAACACCTTTCTTCTCAGCATATAGTATCAGATTTTAGAAGGTTCATACATACTGTGACTTTCTGATAAAGACAGAGCTTTTCTATATGCAATATTTCTGAAATGACCACATAACACTGTTTCAAAAGGATTTGAAAGTCCCACGTTCTATAGCATGATTTGAGAAAAGCGTATTAATCCTGAAAAATCTTACAGTGCTAACCAAGCTCCTTGGGTGGGATGGGGAACGGAAAAGAAAGTCTTGATTTGTAGCAGTTCCTCATTTTCCATGGTGTGAACACCTTGTGGTATTTGCAGGCAATTTGATCCAGGACCCCCCACAAATACCAAAACTCACTGATGCACAAGTCCCTTATATAAACTGACATAGTTGCATATAATCTATGCACATCCTCCCACAAACTGTAAATAATCTCTAGAATATTTGTAATACCAATACAATGTAAATGCCATGTAAACAGTTGTAAATACAATATAAATACTATGTAAACAGCTCTCAGCATATGAAAAATTCAGTTTGCTTTCAGAGACTTTCTGGAATTTTTTAAAAATATTTTTAGTCCACAGTTGGTTAATACACAAAGGCAGAAACCTTGGATACAGAGGGCCAACTGTACTCCCACAGTCCACTTCAGGGTGCTGTGCCTAATCACTCTCATAAAACAGCACCAGCACATTACTTACCTAACTCCAGTACAAAACATTAGCATTAGCCAATATCTTAAATTTAAAGTCTATAATAAGATATTAATCTACAAATAAGTACTATTTTCATGTCATATATTTGCCATACACTTAAAAGTATATCTCAGTAACATCATTTTCTAGCTGTTTATGCTTACAACTAGAAAAAGATAAATAATAAACTCTCAGAAAGCCATAGTGTAAAATACGACAAATGTAAAAGTCCTTATAAATAACTTTGTGAAAAATAAGTTCTTTCTTTAATTATTACAAACTAAGGATTGAGTTGAAAACAGAATTAGGCTGGGTAACAGGATTTGGATTTTGCTTACCAATAACTGGGCAGCATTCCTGTTTTAGGACAGTGGTTCACAAGCTTTTTGACTGTGCGTCTCTAATGGTAAAAGTGTCTAAGACACTCCTTAATATATATCAATTATTTTATAATTATGTACATTATATCACAAATGTACATCATAAATTATATCATAAAATGTACACCAAACTGACTTTTTAAAAGAATGAGATTTATTTAAAAATTGGTTAATTCCACTAAGACACCGTCTTAATGTTGTTTTGCTACTCTGTTTCTAATAGTTCCCTTTCTGTAACAGAGTGCCTCATCAAGGGCATCTCAGCACACACACACAGTATTTTGGACTGTGTTCTCTTAGAGCATAAATTCACAAGCAATGAATCGGAGGAGCAAGAATTGTGTAAACAATAAATTGGAGCAGGTGGTTGAAGCAGCCTTGGGATTTAGAAGACAGTCGGTGAGATTGATTAGGAAGATCAGAATGCATTCAGAAAATTCTTATGCTTATTAATTTCCTGTGAATCTAGTAAATAGCTATCTGCTTCCAAAATACAACAGTGGAACAGGCTCCAGGATAACAGCTATAGACACTGCCATTCCAAAAGGGAGGAAATGTAAAGAAGAAAGTGATCACAGACCTATGCAATTTCAAAATTCAGCAGATCAAATTCCATTAGATTTCAAGACCCAGGACTAACTCTCCATGGCTTAAGGGGGTCCATCTTCCGAGTCTGCAGCTCTAATCTCTGCACTTATGACTCTGGCTTATTCACCTGTGACTCCAGCCTACGGGTCCAGCCTCGGTTTCTAAGACCACAATTCCCACCTTTTCCCTGAATGGTAGCATATGTCTACAGCTAAGAAGTTTTATCAGCCTATTACTACCCATAGAATTTTGAGAGTCTAACTTCTTTTACTTCATCTTATCTCTGTCCTTTTCAGTCCAACCTGACAGTGATTCTGTTGATATTACATCTTCAAAAATCTTTTGGGCTTCCTATGTGTGACACATGGGCTTCTCAAGTGGTTGAGTTGGTAAAGAATCTGTCTGCCATTGCAGGAGACACCAGAGACACTGGTTCAATCCCTGCGTCAGGAAGATCCCCTGAAGTAGGAAATGGCAACCCATTCAAGTAATCTTGCTGCAGAAATCCCATGGACAGAAGAGCCTGGCAGTTTACAATCCATGGAGTCACAAAGAGTCGGACACGACCCAGAGACTAAACAACACATATATGTATTCATATATTTCATATATTTTTTACCAAATAGTTTTGCATAGTGAAAAAAGCCTTTATGGTCTTAGGGAATACGTATGTTGGAATAAACAGAATGTTGGTAGAAACATGAACATTAGAGGTGCTGGTGAGGTCTCAGAAGGAAATGAGGAACATGATACTGGAAACTGAAAGAAAGGTATTTAGTTATATGTGCTACAGTTTTGTGGAAAGCATAATCTGTAAGCAGTGAACCTGGATATTTAGTTGAGATTTGGAAGCAAACTGCTGATAGTCTGAGTTGGTTTCTTCTTGCTTCTTACAATGATGTGTGAGAGGAAAGCTTTGAATTGAGGAAATAACTGCTAAACAAAGAAACCAAGACTTGATGATTTGGGAAATTATCAGCCTATCCAGACTGTAAAAAATGACAAAATTAGGAGAGTTATTCTCAGGAAAAGCTAGCTGTGGAGAGAAAGTTAAGGGTGTGGCTGGGCAACTTTTGCTAGTGTTAAGAGATTAGGTGTGTAATTCATGGATCCATTCAGCTCTCACAGCAGAAGCCAGGAATAAAGATGAGATTATCCAGGAAAGGTCTGTGAAGGATCATCTTGACTAATGGCATGGATCCCCTGTGTCATATTTGTGTGCGTGTGCGCTCAGTTGCTCAGTCATGTCCAACTCTTCGTGATCCCATGGACTGTATACATAAATACACACATGGCCTTCCCTGGTGGCTCAGTGGTAAAAGAATCCGCCTGCCAGTGCAGGAGACATGGGTTCGATCCCTGGTTAGGAAGATCCCCTGGAGAAGGGAATGGCAACCCACTCCAGTACTCTTGCCTGGGAAATTCCATGGACAGAGAAGCCTGGCAGGCTACTGTCCATGGGAGTAGCAAAAGAGTCAGACACGACTGAACAGCTAACACTTCCACTTTCTCACACACACACACAGAACTACTATTTTCCAAGTTTACACACACACACACACACACATATAGATAGATATATCTCCACACATACACAAAATATCATAATGGACCCCATGATTTCACTTGACAAACTGCTAATCATTCAATCATTCACATAGCATTTACTATCTACTGTGTGGTAGGTGCTCCAGTTATAAAAGCAATCAGAAGAGAGAAAATCCCTGTACTTGACCTCTGGTATTCTTTGAAGCATGAGGGGAAGCCAAGGAGAGAGAAAAACAAACATAATGGATAAGTAAATTATAAAATATGATAAATGCTGGGTAGCGGGGAAGAGACAGAAGTGTTTCAATTTTAAGTAAGGCAGTCCTCATTGAGAAGTTAAGCTCTGAAAAACTACTTTGAGCAAAGTAGATAAGGGAGCTAGCCACCGAAGGAAAAAGATTCTAGACAGAGAGAAGTCAGTTTTAAAACAGACAACACCTGGCTTGTTCAAGGATACAGTGCAGTGAGCAAGAAAGAGAACAGTGAGAGCTGAAGTCAAAGCAAATTGGGTGTGGTGGAGACATGTATCTTGGAGGGTCTCAGAGGCCAGTTGGGCAAGACACTACAAGGTTTTAAACACAGGAGAATCACAACTTGATTTCAGTTTTACAGCCTTGAGAAATGTTTCATGGAAGAAATTTCAGAGCATATACTCAAAATGAGAAAAATATCCCCTTTCACTAATGCCTTATTTATAACTTATTTACTTATTTATCAATCAAAGCTTCCTTTGTTCTATTTCTAAACTACCTCCTTCAAGCTTTAAGGGATACATTTTAAGTTAAACATCCTGAAATCTACTGGTTCATTCAAACACATACCTCATCATTCATACTACTTCCCAACCCTCATTTTTAATCCATTCTAATGAGTTTATTTTACATTAAGTCTTCCTCACCTTACTTATTATGGCCACTAAAGCCTAAGTCTTTCCTTACTGAATTATGCAAATGGTAACTATATTTCTCTGTTTCATTTTCAGTTGCATCAGGAATACATTTGTGACTTATTTGATTGGGTCAGTGCCTTTAGAAAAATCTAACAATTAGATTCTCCTAAATGGGCGCAAAGGTAGTTTGAATTGTACAAGCACAGAATGGGTTATTTCCTCTTTTTCTTATTTTTTGTATGTAGTTACTCAACTCTCATTTTTAAAGTAACTAACAGAGCTTTATGATAATGTATTGACTATTCACATAAGTTTGACATTTTACTACCAGAATTATGAATAATTTGGAATCTGGGTGATGATGTAGCCATTTTTCATTAATGGCCACATTAATGCCAAGAGCCTGCCACTGATTCCAGAGAAGTCTGCTCCTGTTCTCAGTTCATAAATACACTCTCTTCCCACAATTCTACAACAATTCTAAGAGCTTTTGTTTGGTTTTATTTTCTAAGAGGAGGAACCCACAGTAAAAGTAATCAATATTTATTTTTAAAGCTACATTTAAGACAGTAGACTTTCTGAAAAAAAAAAAAAAATAGGTTTCCTAGTTTTCGTCCCATTATCATTTTATTTGTCTTTCTGTTTGTTTGTTTCATTCACATTTAGAGTCCCAAAAATGCTTTAAAAATAAATTTGGTAAAATCTAAAGATAAAAGACCACGTCTCAGTATAGTCTATACCAACTCACTAGGACATCTTCAGCCATTCCTCCGCTTCTGGTTTCCAACATCCTTTTATCAACTGCTCAAAGTTCGTGATAATGCTACCACCTGCACCTAAAAAGACCAAGATAAGATAGGAATGTGTTAGTTGTTCAGTCATGGCAGACTCTTGGCAAGCCCATGGACTATAGCCCACTAGTTTCCTCTGTCAATGGATACTGGAAAGGATACTGGAGTAGGTAGCCATTCCCTTTTCCAGGAGATCTTTCCGACCCAGGAATGCAACCCAGGTCTCCTGCACTGCAGGCGGATACTTTACCATCTGAGCCACCAACACAAGAATACTTAACCAGACATTCTTGAGAAAATATATGAAATACAGCCATAATTCTACCTCCTGACTTAAAATTCCAAGCTATAATTTTTATGAGGAAGAAAAAAGTTGCTTTGTACATTTATGGTACTGAGATAACTGCAATTCTTTCATGGCAGCTGTCTATTGCACTATAATTAAGGTTAAAAGTGGGGCCTCAGACAGAGATGTAATTTGAGGTTTGTTTCTGACCTGAAAAAATAAACTCCTCTGCTTTATCATTTCCTTCTCTGATTTTAGTTTTAGGTGCAGTAACTGTAACAACAGATTGAAAATTTAATTTCAACTTACAAAAGAACAATAAAGGTAGGTAATATAGAGTGAACATGAACCCATAATCAATCACATTTACTATTTCAGAGTATTCAAGATGGAAAAAAAAGCCAGAAAAAACAAAGCAAAGTTTTTTTAATTAGATACACCACATAATGTCTTATGTAAACTTGTTTTATTTATGGTGGCAGCTACACCTTAATTAACTATGAATCTCTCTGGTTACAGGTATTAATCAAACCAATAATAAATATTCTATATTTTAAGATAATCAGGTATAAAATAATGGCTGATGACTAGCACTAGTTAAGAGTGCCAGTTTTGAATTAAATTAGCCAGCCAAGAGAAACAATGTTTTCATCTTCCAAAGAAGTCTCTGTTATTAAAGTATGTGGTTCCCATTAATGTAACTAAAGAACATTTATAGTATACCAATAACAGAATATTTATGAACACATGTTGTTAATATTACCTCGGGCCCATCCAATAGCTATCATGACTATCCAGCCATTTTTGTAATAGCTATTAGCATGTGTGACTCCACCTACTATTTTCCAAGTTCTGGTCACTTCCTTCATTCCCGCAGCCAACAGTTGAACAGGTAGGAATGAGTATCCCTGGGAAACTAGGTCACATGGGCAAAAAAATGCAATATACCTGAAATTAAAATTTAAATATTTTAATATGACTGTAATCAGAACAAAAAAATCTAGCATATCAGCAATAACAATCTGATAAAACACAACAAATGGAATATCCAAATAGACATGGAATTTGACTGCAAGAAGACCACAGACTGAATTAAGTCAGTTTGTTTTTTTTTTTTGGCTGATCCATGAGGCATGTGGCATCTTAGTTCCCCAACCAGGGATCAAATCCATGCTCCCTGAAGGAAAGCACAGAGTGTTAACCACTGGACTGCCAGGGAAGTTCTGAAGTGAATTTTTTAAATCACATGAAGCACATAAAAAAATCTGCCAAAAAGTCATAATGAAAGAGGAATATAAAGTTTGTACTTCTGAGTACTCTATATATGCAGTAAGTTCCTAATCTCTGTCTGTACTACTCTAGAAGCTAAGTGTTGAACGCACCAACAATATAAAGCAAGTGTATAATCACCCTTATGGCAGGAAGCAAAGAACTAAAGAGCTTCTTGATGAAAGTGAGAGAGGAGAGTGAAAAAGTTGGCTTAAAATTCAACATTCAGAAAACTAAGATCATGGCATCTGGTCCCATCACTTCATAGCAAGTAGATGGGGGAAACAATGGAAACAGTGAGAGGCTTTATTTTTGGGGGCTCCAAAATCACTGCAGATGGTGACTGCAGACATAAAATTAAAAGATGCTTGCTCCTTGGAAGAAAAATTGTGACCAACCTAGACAGCATATTAAAAAGCAGAGACATTACTTTGCCAACAAAGGTCCGTCTAGTCAAGGCTATGGTTTTTCCAGTAGTCATGTATGGATGTGAGAGTTGGACTAAAAAGAAAGCTGAGTGCCAAAGAATTGATGCTTTTGAACTGTGGTGTTGGAGAAGACTCTTGAGAGTCCCTTGGACAGCAAGGAGATCCAACCAGTCCATCCTAAAGGAAATCAGTCCCGAATATTCACTGGAAAGACTGATGCTGAAGCTGAGACTTCAATACTCCGGCCACCTGATGCAAAGAACTGACTCATTTGAAAAGATCCTGATGCTGGTAAAGATGGAAGGTGGGAGGAGAAGAGGACAACAAACGCTGAGATCATTGGATGGTATCACCAACTCAACGGACATGAGTTTGAGTAAACTCCGGGAGTTGGTGATGGACAGGTTGGCCTGGTGTGCTGCAGTCCATGGGGTCACAAAGAGTTAGACAGGACTGAGCAACTGAACTTGAACTTGATAATCACTTCTGCTCTGGGGTTTCTCTAGACAGAAAGTGAAAGGCACTCAGTCGTGTCCGACTCTTTGTGACCCCATGGACACTACAGTCCCTGGAATTCTTCAGGCCAGAATACTGAAGTGGGCAGCCTTTCCCTTCTCCAGGGAATCTCCCCAATCCAGGGATTGAACCCAGGTCTCCCACAGGGCAGGTGGATTCTTTACCAGCTGAGCCACAAGGGAAGCCCTCTCTAGGTAGAGTGTCTTTGGAATTAGAAAAGAGCCTTTGGTAGCTGAGCAAGGAGCAGCATTTCAACCCCACTTACATCTTCACTTGTGCCCCTTTGTGTATAAACTTCAACCTATACAGAGAAAGGTCATAGCTCTCAACAAGACAGATTCATTCATATTAAGGAAAAACACATTTTCAGTTAAAAGAATATGAAGCTTGTTCTTCAACTCAGTTGAGTAAGTTTAAGTTTCAACCAATCAAACTGTGATATTAGTTTAAGAATAATTCACTCCTCAGGTGAATTTTTTCTGCAGCTTCACTTGTTCTAAGCATCTGTCCAACAATTAACAGTAGACTGATAGGAAGACACAGCACTCCCCCACCCCCATACTCCTAACACTCTCTGACAGACAATTTTGTGCTTAAAGCAGAATATTTATCTTGAAGCAAAGAGGAATATACTGCTTAAAAGAGGTACTCTATCTTTTCTAAAAGAAGTTGTTAATCTTACTTCATGGTTCATAAACCCAAACTCCCAAAAGTATTCATGGAATATGAAACTTGTTCACCAAAACATTACTTCAGAGACCAAATATAAGATGCAATGATTTGTTCGGCCTGAAACACCCTCTCTTCTTCAACTCCACTTACGAATTCTTCCTTTTCTTCACGATTTCACTCAAATACTACCATATACATTGACTTTGGGAGTTTTATTTAATATTCTCAGTTCAGACTAAATTCTGATGGTTCCTATATTCAACATAGCTCTTCTATACCTTTTCTTTATAATAAATTATAACAGTCCTTAATGGCAGGAATCATTCACTGTGTTACCCCCTCACCTAAAACTCAGCATAATAAAAAGTAGCCCTGAGTTAAATCATTTATTAACAGTTAAATAATTAGCAGGAGTCAAAATACAAAATATATCAAATCAAAGAACCATCTGATAATTAAAGAGCTTTAAAGAAAGAAATAAATTACCTAAGAATAGTTAAAAGCTTTTTGAAAATGACAGGTATGATATAAAAACTTTACATGTTTATATAATATTTTGAAAGCCTCTCTTTAAAGGTAGAACAAAATTTCCAGGAAGTAGGCTAGGTGCCAGGCAAAGAAAAGAGTTACATTTAAGCAATTTTTTTAAGTATATTTTTAAATAAAATGAAAATAATGTATGCTCAAAATACTCAGACAAAAATACAACGAAAGAAAAATAATACAAATGACCCCATTTTCATTCTCTACACAGAAACTATCTTCAGCATGAGTTAAAAGCCTAAACTACTACAAGAGCAATCTTGACATTTGTTTTTTTGAATGCATGCAGGGGCATGGAGGATCTTTAGTTCCCTAACTAGGGATCAAACCCGTGCCCACTCCCGTGAAAGCACTGAATCTTAACCACTGGACCACCAAGGAAGTCCCAATCTTGGAGTTTTTATATCCAGTTATGTGACATTTTGGCATATGGTCTAAAAATCTGTAATTACTGCTATTTCTAATAAATAATTCTTTATAGCATTTCAGATATTTCTAAAGTATACCTATAACACACTAATATTTCAAATAAAAATAGTTCTCATGTCAAGTGTTAAACAGCCACAGGGCAAAATAAGAATTGTTTATTGTGCTCCATAGACTTACAAGTAAGCAAATCAGACCAGTGGCTCCCTAAACAGCCATTCCTGCTCTATAACACGTTAGCTTTTAAAAATTCCTTTGATGACTCAACTCAACCAACACTCATTAAGGAATCATCATGTTCCTCCTTCTGTAAAGATTATAATTTCAACTTTAATTAAAATTGTAGCATATAAGAAACTTTTAACTTTAAAGCGCTTCAAGAAAACATATCAGAAAAGAAGGACTGCAACATAACATGAAATGGAACAAGAAGGCAATTTATTTCTCATATATTTTTAAGTCACTTAGATTAACAGAGAGAGTTGCTAAATAACAAAAGTTAGTCTAAAACAGAATACAAACAGGATGTGAGGCCACTGACAAATGAAAGTTGAAACAGTTAAAATAGGAAGATGAAATGAGAATTTAGGTTAATACCAAGAGTTGAGCTTCCCACAATTAATCAGTGAGAACTCTGCCTTCAATCCCCCTTAACTCCCCCCTCTGACTAACAAAAACAGTGTAACTTAACCAAGCCAAAAGAGAGCAATAAACTAAATGCTGTTCATATTAATCCAGTAAGACAGCTTTTCGCTGGCTCTCATTATTCTAACAAATTAATAACTTTATGTATATTCTCTGAAAAAGACTATTACAGAATGACACACTTACATAACTATACTTTTTATTGTATTTTTCCTCATAAAAATGCAGTCTGTTATGTAAATGTGCAATATATAATAACATACTTAGAAGTGAAAGGAAAATAAACTGGGGCATAAAAATCAATACACAGACAAATTATAAAATATTTATTTCCTCCCAGAAACAGTTTTCAAAAGGAAAAATCCTATGAAAGGCTATACTGTCTTCCAAACAACACTAAACATACCATGACATACCAAGTTACTCTTTCCCTTTGCCAGCAGATGGTGCTGATTTCCAGATGTGAGCACCATGTGCTATTATACTAAAGATGACCTTCCCAGTAAGTGTATTCACATACTCCCTTAGTTTAGCTTGCTACAGTTAAAAGCATAATACAAGCATTATTTTAATCCCTCAAATTAAAATCAAATGAAGCAAAGATTAGAAACTTGTTCTCAACATTAAAACCTGAAAAAAGAAAACATTAAATACACTGTCTTTAAGCAAGCACCATTTTTTTGTATTTAAGGGTCTGTGAACACAAAGACAATGTATTCCCCAATCCAAAACAAAACACTGTGCAAGTGTAGACTAAACGACCAGGTAGCTTTGAATCCTGGCTCCAGCTACGAGATACCTGTGATTCCTTGGGCAATTTACTTAAGCCTTCTTGTCTCAGATCCCTTATCTACCAAATGAAAATAAAACGGAACTTGCCTCACTGGTTTCCTGTGAGGTTGAATGAGAGGACAGATGTAAAGCACTCAAAAAAGTGTCTGAAGCGGTAAGTACTGTGTCAGTGGCTGTTATTGCTGTTGTTTGGGAGTACCCAACGAAACAACTAGAACCAATAAAAAAGGTCATCAGAATAAGAATAAATATAGATGTTAATATAATAGATTATACAGCAATGAGAAGGAATATACCACAGCTAACAAACAAAACAGAGATGAATCTAAGTAACATAATGCTGAGTGGAAAAAGCCCTAGAGAACTATATAAAGTATAATACTCCATTTTAAATCAGGGCAAAAAACAAATAAAACTAAAAAGATACACTGTTCAGATATTCATATGTAAGATACACACCTTTTTCTAAAATGTAAGATAAACACAAACAAGGTAGAAAATGTCTGTGTGAAAACTGCAGGGAGATGGGATGAGAGAGAGAAATATGAGTATTTAAGTTATTGGTGCAGTTCAGTTCTTAGATTTAGTGCAGTACAGTGGAGATGTAAATTAGCATAATCATTTGAGAAATGATTTGTCATTATCTAGTAAAGCTTA